TGTGAGACCCTGCCATTTAAAAATATATATAAAGCAAGCTGTTATCAGCCATGGTGACCGTACTGTGGTGTCACAGACCATTTGAGACTATGTCTCCTCATCAGTTGTACCACTAAAGAGTTTCATGATGGCTGTCTGTCTGTCTGTCCGTCTGTTCCTCTCTCTCTGTCATCCCCTCCTCTGCTTCTTTTCTCTTTTGCTGTTAAAAGAAAAAAAAAAAAAAAAAAAAAAACGATTTTCATGATGGCTGTGTATACCACTTCATTTAGTAACTCTCCCTGCATTGTAGGGCAGTTACACGGTCCATCTTTGTTGTAAATGACACTACAGTGAGGTCTTGCTATAAACAGCCCGAGTTTGCAGGTGAGATTGTCAAGGTTCCGCATTTAAATATGTCATCAAACCGAAAGGGTTCCTAGACATAAATCCCCCAAGTCTCCTGGGTTTTGCCTCTAAATCTCGATGCTTCAAATCTCTTTGCAGGCCATTACTGGTAACCACACTGGAAAGAAAGAAAAAGCAGGGGGGGGGGGGAAGCTTGGTATGGTGGTACATACCTTTAATTCTTGCACTCAGGCAGATAGATCCCTGAGTTCAAGGCCAGCCTGGTTTATAGAGCATGTTCCAGGACATCCAGGACTACACACACAGACAGACAGACACACACACACACACACACACACACACGGAAAATTCTAGTTGATAGGGGTTGTTGTCAAGAGTCCAAGTACCACTGCTTGCAGTGACGTATGATGAGTTACAGTGGCACTCTCTGCCTTCCTCAGGTTAGTGACCATCAGGTCACCAGCAATTCCTCTCCCTCCCTCCCTCCCTCCCTCCCTCTCTCTTTCTCTCTTTTCTTGAACAATTTTAAGAACCAACCAGAGAAATCCAAGTTCCAAGCAGTGTGTCCTAAAAATGGGAAGTGTGGTCTCCATGGTGAAGGCGGTAACACTCCACACAGAATGGAGAGGGAAAGGATTGGGTTTTTGAAGGGCTCCAAGGGCCCTCAGACTGAAGAAGCTGGAAAAAGCCAGCAGTCACAGTGTGGCATGCCAGCGTGCTGTTACTGTAACCATGCAGGCAGGGGCTGGGCAGAACCCGGAGACATGGAATAGAGCTGACACCTAGGCTGAGTGGCTTTGCCTCCAAGCCCTGTCTTCCCCTGTAAGATGTGAGACACTGAGGTGAGTTTGACAGCTTATGGAGATCAATCTCTGTCACAGAGGTGAGGTGCTAGCCAATGCCAGGGATGACTCTAGGTAGACAGGCATTGGTGTGATTCATTCATACAGCTCACACATTGGTGGCTTCACAGGACTTAGGGGATATGATTCATGAAATGAGATTTCTGTATCTCTGGAAGGGAAGTTAGAGGGTCCTAACAGAACAGTCATTTTGGTGCCTACCACCCATCATCTGACTGAGGATTCTCCATCCTTCTCTCAGGACCTACTTTAGCCCTGATAAGTCAGATGGTTGTCCTCATGAGCTAATGAGGACCCTTTTGGAGCTTCATCTAGCTAGATAACCATTTTCTGTATAAGAAGTTATGGCCACAAATTGTAGAGAGTTGCAGCTGTCTGTCCCAAGAGCCCCATAGAAAGTTGGGGCTTTGTGTTCTGGATTACAGTAGGTGTGCAGAGATGGTTTCTATGGATATTGGACATCCTGAGGTATTTCTGCTCCTCTAAAGAAATACTCAACAAGACACAAGGAGGTTATCCCTGGCAAGGTCTCTTCCCTATGAGGCTGGTTGGCCAGCACTCTTAGTCCATATTGTATTATTAGGGTGGGTTAGAAGGTTCTAGGATGATTTCAAATATGCTAGAAACTAATATAGTGGGACAATTTCCCTTCATACATGACCACTGCTTCATGTAGGAAAGGGAGGGGCTTCGGAGTTGAAGGTAGGGAGGGGATGAGGACAAAATCTGAGGAGTTAGCCAGTCAGTGTATGAGGAGCTGATACTTCTGCACACAAGTGAGAGGTTTACAGCCTCAAAGAGCCCAAGCAAAGGGGCAGTCCTGTAGACCTCTAGCAGAAGCAGTAGCAGAAGCGGTTGAATGGCTTCCCCAGTGTAGTTCTGCTGCAGCTGTGTGGCGTGCTGGCAACTTGACAGGGTTGTTTTCTCTGTATCTGGGAGCTGTCTGTACATGTCAGGTTTTTGAGGGGTGGGGGTGGTTGAAAGTGAGCACACACCTTAATGCTGTTCACTGTGGTTTTTGTTTCAGACTCAAGTTACAATGAGGCTTTATCTAGACCACTTCTGGGCATTGATGACAAAAGGTAAGACATAGGTCAAATCCAAAGGATGGGAAATGATGATGAGTTCCAGGGGACACTTTAGTTCTGGCACCAGGCTGCTGAGGGTGAGGCAAAGTCAGATAGAGGACACCAACTGCAAACCTGTGCTCCAGTTTCTGACTCTGCAAACAGGACAATGGCCTCTTGTCATTACAAGGGTTTTAAACTCTTGAGACTCAGTATTAGGGCTGGGAGGTGAGGAGTCATGAGGACTCCTGTGCAAGCAGACACTGATCTAATGCATTAAAGTGTAAGTCGGGACTGAGGCAAGTCTCTGCTTTCCAGTTGGTGTTTAAATCCAGCTGTGAGGGCACCAACAGGTGTCACGGAAACTTGGCATTGTTCTCACTTAAAACTGCCAGCAACTTAAGCACCCTAAAATTTCCTCTTATGCTCCAAACACAGAGGGATTCCTTGGAAGTGTCTCAGCTCTCTGCATGCCATGAAAAGATTGCCTACTTAAGCGTCCCCCTTCCTGCCATCATGAGTAGGAGCTAAGAGCAATTACAGTCATGATCCAGTGAAGAAAGTGAAGCCAGGGGTCTATCAAGGCTTTCAAATAGCCCATAGCCACCACTGGGCTCCAAGAGTGGCCAGTGGGGGAGTCCCACAGCCCAGCAGTCACCCTGCTTGGACGGTCCTCACTCTCAACAGCAGCCAGCGCTGTTAGACTTGTGAGGCTGGAAACTTCTTGAGTAGGTGTTGCCCTGTTCATCTAATTGGCACAGGCAGAGGTTACTTAGCTCAAGGCTCTGGTGTGATGGGCTGAGAGCCTCAGGTGGCCGTGTGGGACATAAACACCGCTTCCTTGTGAACCAGCTCATGTCGTGGGGAAAGTTACAACCCATGAGCAGAGGCAAGACACTCAGATATGGCCAGGCACTGGGCCTGTTTCTTCCTCTCCTCCCCACTCATGCTTGGAATTGAACTCAGGGCACCGAGCTATCATCTCCCAGCCTCTTTCTTCTTTATCTCTGGAGATTTTGTGCATTTCATAGCCTCTGAGCCTTCATCTTGGAAAGTACTTCCTCTGCATTGTATTCAGACTTATGAACGTATTTAATGATGTGAGAGAGTTGTACAGGGGTTGATCCATCACCTAATATTTCAAGATGAATGCAATTAAAGCAGGAGTGGCGGGAGACTCCTGTGATCCCAGCACTGGGGAGGCATAAGCAGGAAGATCAGGGTTCAAAGTCCTCTTTTTCTAGGTTGCAGCTTGGAGGCTAGCATGAACTAAGAACTGTAACCAAGACAAATGAATCCCACTCTGCATGCCTCTAGGTGTTGCCAGGGCAGGGAGATTACTCTTCTTGTAGGCCTGTGATGGTTCAAGCCTTCCCACAGACTGAGCTATAGTCAGACTTTGGGGTTTGTTTGCTTTTGCTAAATCCCCAGGCTCTGACAACCTACAGGATAAACATAACTAATTCTTAGTCCTTTAGGCACGAATCCAAGTCTCTACAGTATTACAGGCTCAGGAAATGGTAGGCTCAGATGAGTTCAGGAAGTGAAATGGGATTCAGTGATCTGGATGGAGACATGCTCTACAGGCACCTGGCTTAATTCTTCTCAGCGACAGCCGACTTTTACCCTCTGAATTAGATTGGTTCATAGGTTGTATCTCTTCAGTTTCTGCTACTTAAAAAAGAAAGAAAGGAAGGAAGGAAGGAAGGAAGGAAGGAAGGAAGGAAGGAAGGAAGAAAGAACCTGTACATAAAGCTGAGTTCCAGGCCAGAGTGGGATCAGTCTAGTGAGGCACCATCTAGTACCTAAGCGAGGCCATCACACAGCTTTGAAAACATACTAATGAACCCTGTACATCACCTCTGGAGGACCGGCCTGCTGGGCTCTGGATACTAAGTTTGGGAACTGTAGCGCTAGGCTCTGTCGGTCGGTGCGATGAGTCGGTGATCACAAATATCGGTTTCACAGATGCAGAGGCTGAGGCTGTGCTGGGAGGACGTTCCGAGGTCACAGATCCATACCCAGCGTTCAGGAGGCCTCCCACACACGCTCCGTGGGCCTTGCGAAGGTTCCCCCAGCTGCTGGACAGGGGCACCCCATCGATGCGCTCCATCGCTCGGCTCCCCATGCCTGGCCCAGCCCCGTGCGCTCCTTCCCCCTCCCTCTGCTTCCCACTTCCAAGATGGCCGCGGGCGGAGCTGACCAGGTAAGGGGCCCGGGCCGGGCTTCTGCGGTGCCCGTGTGGACGCTGTGACTTTCCCAGGACTTCCTTCGCGCCTCCGCTTGGGCCTGGGGATAGAAAACGGTCGGGGACACAACTCCCGAAGCCCAGGGTGGACGCTTGGGCAGGCCAGGGGGAGCGACGCCCGTGAGCGTCAGGCTCCAAGCTCAGCAGAGGCGCGGCGGGGGACGAGAGCCCGGGCGGAAGAGCGGTGGGGGACTGGCGGGGGCGTGGCCAGGGAGCGTGAGGGTGTGGCTAGAGAGCGCGGGGCGTGGCAGTACGGCTGTCCCGGGGAGTGGACTGCGGGAACGGAAGAGCGGAGGGCCCTCGGTGGGCGTGGCCAGGGAGCATGGGGCGTGGCGGTACGCCGGCCGCCCCGAGCGCGGGTGTTTGGAGTTGGGTGTTGGGCCGCTGAGGCTGGGTGGAAGGGCTGTGGAGGACTGGGGGGGGCGTGGCTGTGGGGCGTGAGGGGGCGGGGCCTGGCGCCAGCTGCCTTTGGCGGCGGGCGGCTGGCAAGCACCTGCTGCGGCCGGGCGTCCTCGGTGTCCGGCGTCCTCGCCCAGCAAGTTGCGGGCCCCACGGGCCCTGGGCTGCGGGCCACGGGCCCGGAGATGGCGTTGGAGCTGCGGTAGCTCGGGTACTGAGGGCCTCTGCGGGGTCAGGCTGACGGGCTGAGGAGGGCTGGCGAGAGGCGCTGCCACCTGCTGCTGCGCTGGCCCTGCGGGCGGGCCGTGAGGGGTCAGGCTCCTGACAGGGGAGGGTGGGAGGGCTGGTGTGCGGCTGCCCTCGGCCAGAGCTGTCGTGACTTGCGCCTTTCCCACAACTTGGCGAAAAGTTTTCTCCTCCGATACCGTGCTGCGAGCCACAGGGGAGTCTGCCCTGCGCGTCCCCAGCCAGTGCCCTCCTCAGACCGCTGTCATGTTCCCATCGCTGCCCTTAGTCCTCCTCAAACCCCTGTGGTATTCTGGTCTCTGTCCTCTCTCTTCAGGTCCTGGGTCCAGATTCTGTCCTCAGACCACCCCCCCCCCATGTGTCTCGAACCACCTTCCTCGAAAGACCCCTTTTCCTTGAGTTTTCGTAGACGCTAGGCTGCCACTGACTCATCTGATTTGAGTGCCGGGGGCTGTGGGTTGTGGATGAGTCTGCCCTGAGCATCATGAGCCTGAATCCTCCTCATACCCCTGAACCTATTTAGGCCCTTGTTCTCCACAGTCCTTCCTCCTCAGCCCTTTGTGGTGTGTTCCTAGTCTCTTCCTCCTCATGCTGAGTTCTCAGACTGCCAAACCTCTTCCTTAAATCTCCTGACCCACTCTACCCTTTCCCTCTTGGGCCTCCTTACCTCAGTCCCTGGGCTGCAGAAGGTCCTCCAGTTAGGGACCCTAGACCTCACTCTAAGATCCTATTGCCTAGGTCCTCCTCAGATCTTCCACTCGGACTCTAGAACCCATTTTCTCTTTAGGGACCCTCAGTAGTGGGCAGATTGGTAGGCTAGAGAAAACCTGATCTCTGCCCCTGACCCTTACTCAGGCTCTTGTCAACCCTGCAGGGTCTTGGCTAACCTTCTAGAGGGTGCTAGCCATCACAGACTGCTGATGGAACCCCAATGAAGTTGAGAATGTCAGAGACACCTCCTGACCAGGCCCTAGTAAAACTCAAAACTGTCCCTGTCTAATTCCAAGGTGGAATTAGAAGTTTTGCTCTGGAAGATTCTCTGTGTACTCCTGCAGTTTGTAACTTCTGGAGGCCCTGGCTATTCTCTGGTTATTTCATGTTGGCTGGTTGAGGTGGGAATCCTGGTGTTTGGTGACTGACAGTAGTTCCCTACTCTCCAGCACTCTCATGTGCAAGAGGGTAGCTCCTTGCTGGCTTCTTGGGAGGATGGATTGCCTGTGGCTGTTGGCAGCCCCGCTAAAGGGACTGGGCTAGCCTTTGTAAGCAGTCCACACACATCTGTGCCAGTACCAAAATGGTCTCAGGTTTGCTACTTCTCCCCTCCCCCTGGCTTTCTCCGCTTGCTTGCATGCTTTGTTGTATGGGTTTGACCCATTGAGAGCTGAGCATAATTATCCTAATAAGACCTAGCTGTAATGAGAACCTGGTTTGTACCTTCTGCTTAGAGTTATCAAGTGCACTCTTCCGGAACATTAAGAGAAGGAGGTTTGACTTTGCAAGGTAAGGTGAGAGAGACAGAGGTGGGGTGTAGATTGAGGCTGATCACAAGACAAGGCTCTGCTCACCCTGGTGTGTTTGTTTAGCACCTTTTTTACATGAATTAGGCTTGCTTTCTTTTGGAGCAACAGGGTTTTTTACTCTGCCCTCAGGCCATCTCCTGACATTCAGCATCTCACTTGGCTCCTGCAGATCCATGTCTCTTTAACACCTTCAGTTAGTTCTGACTCCTGTTATGCAGAGACTGAGTTCCCTGTCCCCCAAGTCAGTGTCCCCTCCTCCACCAGGACCAGTTCTTTCTTTGTATAAGCCTCTCTTGACAGTGAGGGGAACATGGCTTCAGGGAGCCTTGTCTTAAAGTCTGACTCCCCATGGGTTAGAGACCCTTAACTTCATGTTCCTAGCCTCAGTACTGAACATACTTGCCCCATGATGTGGGGTCCGAGACCTTGGAGAGAATTTTTCAGAATAGACATTTATACACAACAGAGTTTTTAGACAATTGAGTATGTATGGTCTCCTGACATTTGCTTTTAATATTGGATGTAAAGAAAGTGTCTTGGGCTAGGAGTATTGAGACTGTTGAGCTGCAAGGCTCTCAGTAGATCAGGTTGACTAATTCCATTTTTTACTTGGGAAAATTGAGGCCCAGAGTTCAGTCAGTGCCACATAGCATGTGTGAAAAGTTGTATAGCCCTGTGTACATAGAATGGCTGTGTGGTGGCTTTCTTTTTCTTTATTCATTTCATTTTTTATGTACATTGGTGTTTTGCCTGCATATATATCTGTGTGAGGATGTCAGATCCTCTGGAACTTGAGCTAGACAGTTGTGAGCTACCATGTGGGTGCTAGGAATTGAACCCTGATCTTTTGGAAGAAGCATCCAGTTTTCTTAATCACTGATTCATCTCTTCAGCCCCAGGGTGACTGAGCTTTCTAATGCAAAGATGTTGTTAAATTAGTGGACCTGAGCTGTTCATCTCTGTGCTAAGAAGTTTAACTCTAGCCAAGATCTTCTAAAGCTTAGCTCATGCTAGGCATGGTTCTAAAGGCATGGCTTTCTTCCCTTAAAATTGCTAATTGCCTGGTAAGGTATAGGCCAATATTGACTTCATTTAGCAGTGAAACTGAGGCACATGAAGCTAAATTAATTCAAGGTCACACAATTGGCCAATGGAGGAGCTGGGATTTGAATCCAAAATGTCTATTCTAGATTATGTATCTCCTCCCACACTACTTACTTTAAAACCATTTTGTAAAAATTTATTTATTTATTTGTGTGTGTAGGACAACTTCTAAGTCAGTTTTCTCCTACTTGTAGGTCCTGTGGATTGAACGCAGCAAGCACCTTTTCCAACTGATCCATCTCTCTGACCCTAAAAACTTTTATTAATTTTTATCATTGTTGTTTGATATGATATATGTGGAGTTGAGCATGCCCATGTTGTGTGTGTGGAGTCAGTTCTCTCTATCTTTATGAGGGTTCTAGGGATGGAATTCAGGTTACTAGGCATGTGCATCAAGTGCCTTTACCCACTGAACCATCTTGCTGCCCCTATTTTTAAAAAGTTTTGAGGCTGGAGATATGGCCCAATACTCATGAGCACTTGGCTGCTCTTCTAAAGGGCCCAGGTTCAATTCCCAGCAGCCACAAGGTAGCTCACAACAGTGTAACTCCAGTTCCAGAGGATCTGGTATTCTCTTCTGACCTCATTGGATTCTAGGCACACACCTGGTGCACAGACATACATGGTGAAAAAATATTTGTATACATGAAACAATTTTAAAAATCCATTTCTATTGAATTCTAACATATAGAATGGTAAAAGTTGTGTTTGGTTTACTGCTTAGCACACGGTTGAGGACTTATATTCTTAAGTATTTTAGCAGGCCATGTGTGGGTGGCTCTGATGTTATACCTGGCCTGAATCCAGTTTCCCTTGTGCAACTTTGAGCAAATTGCTTTGCTTCTCTACATTTCAGTGTCTACGGTATATTTGGCATATTTATGACTAGCATATGGTGACTGCTAAGAGTTGTCTCTTCTATTAAGAATCCAACATGTCTTTACTCTTCTGGAGGCAGAGGCAGGCAGATCTCTGTGAGTTTGAGGCCAGCTTGGTCCACTTATTGAGTTCTAGACCATCGAGGGGTACATAGTGAGAAAGCCACTTTCCTCCAAACAAACAAAGAAGTAAAGAGTTTAAATTATGTTGCATTTATGAAGTGGACTGCATATCTTCCTGATCCATCAGTACTTTACAAGTGTCTGTTTAGTCATTAAATGTAGCTGAAACATTTGGGAAAGGAAGGAACACTCCATATAGTCAGAAATTATACTTGTATAATTGACTTCCTTGCTGCACAGTGGCAGTGGTCAGTATTGCAGGGGGCTGCAGGTTAGCCCAGCATGCTGTTTTCTTATCCCTGGCTCCAGCTGAGGTTTTCTAGTGCATCTCTTAGTGGATGGCTGTGAAGATGGAGCACCTGGCAGGCTCTGGGCTCCTGGCAGGTGGCTGCGCCTATAAACTGGTAATGCTCTGGCACCTAGGACTGTTCTAGTCCCTTTACCTTTCCTGGCAGTTAGGACTTAAAGAGAGACTCACCTCCTGGTTAGTTCCTGTGGAGCTCTCTGCAGTGCAGGGGAATTCACACAAGTGTACCACTTTTATCTGTGGGTTTCCTTAGGGTTAGACCTCATTCCTAGCCTCTTCTGAGCTAAAGTTTGTTTTGAACACCCTGTGTTCTGGGCTGAAATGCAGTCTGGTGGAGCCACTGCTTCTGTGAGGAAGCTAACGGCCTCATCAGAACTCACACTGTAAAACATGGGGGACCCCAAGAGGCTTTCTCAAGAATTTTGTGGGTGCTAGATACAGAAGACTTGGTGGGGCTTGTTTAGTTTCCAACAGAGCCTGGTCTGCATGGTGGTTTTATGGTGCTACTGGTGTGATCTTGCTCTCGTGTACTTGACTATGATTTTAATACCCCAGGCATGGCTGAGTAGAAACAAGCCATGGGTGTTGTTCCTTTGTTTTAATGATAAGATAAAGCTGGGGGTGTGTGTGTCCCACATGAGGGTCCCAAGGTAAGGAGAGGGTGACCGAGGAGGGGGGAGACGGGGAGGGGGACACAAACACGACAGGCAGACAGAGCTTGAGTGAGTTTATTTAGAAAGGGGATAGAGAGGGAAGGGAAAAGAAAAGAGACATAGAGACACCAGGAACAGAAGAGAGAGAGAGTGAGCAAAGAGAGCGTAAGTGGGTGGGGGTCTGACTAGTCTGACTGCAGACTAGTACTCATGGAACCCTGGGCTGACCAGAGTACTGCCTGAGTGCATTCTGCCAGGTGACAGGGGCGGGCCAGCGTAATGCCTGAAACCTTACAATGGGTGCTTTGCCCTTAGAATAAGTACCTGGAAATCAGGTAGAGCAGGGCTGAAGGGAGGCGTGGCAGCTAAGGTGGGTATACTGTCCTGACCTTTGATGGTCAGAGAGGTCAGCAATGTTGTTCCCTTGCTGGTGGTGCCAGGAAGCCCCTTTCCCCAGGAACATCCAGAGAGGAGCTGGGTCAGCCTGCTTAGGCCCATATCCTTTAGTCAGGGACAGTCCCCAGGAATGGTGCTGGGACCTTTGTTCTTCTGCATCCACCAGGGAGGCTATTTCCCCCTCTGAGGGCAAAACTAAATCATTTGGTTAGGCTTCAGAATTTTTTTTTTTTTTTTTTTTTTTTTTTTTTGTGAAGATTCTGGCCATGTCCTAAGCCTTGGATTTTGTGAAGGAGGAAATCAAGTGGTTGCTTCTGGATTAGACTGTCTCACATAGCCCTGTCCACATCACTGGTAGAATCTCTTTGTCACTTATCTTACACTAAGAACTGCCCTACGGGGTGACAGTTGGGCTGTCCAGACCCTCAGGTAGTTTCCTTTTGCTTCTTGCAGAGCATATGAAACCCACGTGGTCTTGCTATGAGGGTTAAAAACAGCCTTCCTCTTATGCCTGCTTCATATCTTGTGTGTGTGTTTTTCTCTAGTCCGGAAAGTGGTGACTAATCACCATTTACCCTGCGTTTTGTGCTTCCCCTGGCAGTGCGCTTCTTCCTCCCTAGATGGACTCAGCCAGTGCCTGAGTCTGCTCAGGCTAGAGTGGCTGCAGCAGGCAGATTGTACTGCTCTGATGTTACTCATGTAGACGTCAGAAAATTAGTGTAGAGAGGGATATTGTTTCCTTTCCCTGACTTTCTAGATGGCGGTTACCACTGTCAGATCTGCATGTAACCTGTTGTACTGGGTGGGTTGCCCAGTTGCTGGTGTTTGGTATGTTCATGTAACCAGGACTCAGTGGGATTTTCATACTTGTATTGCTTCTGACAAGAGCTTCTTAGGTTATAACCCAGATTTCAGTTGAATGTGCATGAATGGGACTGTCCTGGAAACCTTCCCACTTGGCTGTCAGTAATTAATTCAGCATGTACTTTTTAAAATTCTTTATCCATGGTAGGCATTTGGCCAGACACTGAAATCCAGAAATGAGTAGAACTGTTCCTGCCCTGAAGTCTGGGAACTGGTGGCAAGAAACAGGAAAATAGTTGTAGAATCCCATCATTTTAGGTGGGGTGTGGCAGAAGAGCTTAGAAAGAGCTCTACAGCTTCCCAAGAGAGCTGGAGCTGGGGGGGGTGAGAGGGGGGTGTTTAGAGGGAGGAGGTGGCTTGTGGGGGCTCCCTGTGTGGCACAGTCCCTTGCTGGATTCCATGCCCTCCCCTGGGCAGGAGCTCTTTGCTCCCTGCAGTGGCCCCCGTTGAGTTGCATGTTGAAAGGTGGGGAAGACAGGATAGGAGCGCCTTTGAGTCTGCTTAGTGTGGGGAATTCCAGCTCAATCTCTGTTTAGAAGGCATGTGACTAGGAGGCAGGCCACCTGCTTTAGGCCACCTTCCAAAGTTCACCCCACAGCCTGTCTCAAAAGCATGTGCCTTGTTTGTGCAACCTTCCCCTTATTAGGGCACTGGCAGAAGGTGGGAGGCCTGGAGTGTGGCGTCTGGTTTTATGGCATTGGTAGAAAGGCTCAAGGACCCAGTGGCCTTGGCCCTTTGCAGAAGTTGGTTCCAGAGTAGTGTTTTCATTAGGGTTACTATTGTGACAAAACATTATGACCAAAAAGCAAGTTGGAGAGGAAAGGGTTTATTTGGCTTACATTTTCATATTGCTGTTTGTCATCAAAGGAAGTCAGCACAGGAACTCAAACAGGGCAGGAACCTGGAGGCAGGAGCTGATGCAGAGGCCATGAAGGCATGCTGCTTCTTGGCCTGCTTCCCCTAGCTAGCTCAGGACCACCAGTCCGAAGATAACATCACCCACAATGGGCTAGGCCCTTCTCCACCAATCACTAATTAAGAAAATGCCTTACATCTTATGGGGGAATCTCATTTAAGATTCCCTCCTTTCAGATGACTCTCATTTGTGTGTCAAGTTGACCTAAGACCAGCCAGCACAAGTATGTTGCAAGCCCTTTAGGCTTATTTCCTCAAAGACTGACACTCTGTTCCTGAGACTTAATGACTCACCAGAGGCCTCAGAGTTCATCTGGCTTTTCCCTGAAAGAGGCCCCAGGGACAGGGAACACCATGGCTTTGGGCTCGCAGCCCCATTTTCTTCCCCATTTCTTGACCAGGTTTGGAGGGTCGTTGGAATCAGTGCTATGAATGAGATGCCGCTGTCTGAATGAGATGGTTTCTTACCCCACAGGCAGCAGTAGCTACCTTATGTTTGTCCAGGTGCAGACTTCTATGCCCTGTAGGAGCAGCAGACTTCTATGCCCTGTAGGAGCAGAATCTCTTGTTAACAGTTGAACTGCATCTCCTGCAGGCACTTTGGCGAGATGGGGCTGAAAACAAGGAAATATGTCTATGAAGCACCCATGAGGTTAGGTGTCCCCTTTCATCACACCTTCTTGTTTCTTTTGTCTTCAGACCAGCCTGTAGTATAGCATTGCCGTGGTTCATTGCTGGGGAGGCAGGAAGTTGAGGCTCAGAAAGGTTAAGTACCTCTCCTGAGGTCACCACAGCTGGTAAGGCAGACCTAGAAATTCAGCTGTGCCTGTAAAGTTCTTCTCTTCTGACTAAGGCTTTGTGCCAATTTGATCTGTTGGAAGCTGATGGTGTTTTGATATCTAGTAACCTTTGCCTTTGTCAAAGATTAGCTCTTAACTATGTGATAAAATGTTTCTTATTGTGTTCTTGCTTTAATTAAAAGGAGTGCAACTTCTAATTTGTGTGTATTTGAATCCACTTGTATCTTTGTGTGAGTCTTGTTTCTTAAGATAACAATTGGTTAGGTTTCACCACAGAGGTGGTGCCTGATGTCCTTGAGGAGCACATGGCTGCTGGACTCAGGGTGGACATCATGGCAATGTGAGCCATGAAAATTAAAAAGTGTTCAATACCCGTTGGAGTGATGCTCAGATCCTTGTGGAGAATAAACTGAGTTTTTGTCTGCAGGTTTGAAAATTTTTTTTTCAGCCCTTATATAATTTTTGTTTCTGTAACAAATTAAATTTGCCTGTCTTTCTTGTGATGTGGTACACTGTGGTTCTAACTTGTAAGAAAAAAAAAAAAATGGGTTATCAGTCAGTACAACTCTGGAGTTAAATGAACCTTACTTGTTTTCTGTGGCTCAGTCTATTTCTGAATTCCACCTTTCCCCCGTTTCTATTTTTGTTCTTTTCTGTGCTGTCTGAATGGCTCCTTCAGCTTCTGGGAGGGGGAGATTACTTCCCTTCCTCCTTTTTGTTTTAATCAGTTTGCTTCTGCTGCACTAACGGAGACTGGCTTCCTGAGGGTTGCAGAAGGCTTCTGGTAGAAGCTAGGCTAACTCCTAGCAGGCGAACTTCTGTGTTTGCTTTGCCTTGGAGCCTTCAGGAGTCCCCCCTGGGCCCGCTGCCCACTCATTACAGTCCAGGAGTGGTTAGAGTCTGGAGTTCTGGTACTTATACTCTCTACTCTGTGGTCAGGTTACAGTGTACTGTCTGCTGTCTTTAGTTCTGAGCACAGGTGAAGATTGACAGTGTGCTAGAGGTGTGTTCCTCAGAGTGGAATTTTCTCCTGGCTTGTATCTGCCTCTTTGGCTAGAGAGCTCTGGGTATGGCCTTTGAGGTGTATGTGGCCAGTGCTTTAGACTCTTTTCTCAAGTGTTGACCTTTGCTCTTCTATTATTAGCATATCTTCACTATACTAGCCTCCTGTCCTGAGTTTAAGGACACTGTCCCAAGACAATTAAAACTAGGTATGGCCTTGCCTCTTGACTCCCAAATCCTACCTCTCTAGGTATGTCTGATCTTGGACCTTTCTGAGTGATTGACTTCTGTTGTGAAGGAATAGCATGCCCTGCCTTGGACTTGAGTGAACATGGTAGTGCTGTGGAAAGGAATTGGCCAGTTGGGGTATGGTGGGCAGTCTTACTGCAGATGGTGTGTTTGTGTGTGTGTAATTCTCCATTCTGTTTTTTTTCTCTTACAGCATAAAAAAACAAGCTAATGATTAGGACTGAACCCATGGCTTTGTTCATTCTAGCCAAGTGCCACTATATTCCCAGCCCCTAATTCACATATTTTGGTCAGAGGTATCCTATTTATAATTTGTCCCTGTGTTATCATTATACCACTGTTACAGAATGCCTGGGATAAACAATTTGTAAGAATGAAAGACTTATTTCAGCTCATTGTTTCAGAGATTTCTTTAGGCCATGTCTTTTGGCCTTGTTGCTTTCAGCCCAGGGAAGTACACAATGTCATAATAGGAGCAGGTGACAAGAGCATCCTGATCACTTCATGACATCTAGGAAATAAGGCAATCAAAAGGAAGGGCTGGGGGTCTAGATATGGACTTAGAGGGTATGCCTCCAGTGATATAACTTCAACCTCCCAAAGGCCCCACCATCCTCTCGTTAAACAGCAATCTTGGGATTAAGCCTTCAACATGTGGGCATACAAAATCCACATTATAGCGTGTTCCCACAAGAAGATTTCCTTCCCACCCAGCACAGATCTTGTGCTTCCATTGCTGGCCTGGGTACCAGAGATGTAATTGGGGTGACAGAACTGATGATGACACTGGCTGCTTTCCCTAGGCGATCTTCTGTGTGAACTGTTGCCCTGCTATTTCAAGAGAGTATGTTCAAGCTTTTGCTCTAGGCCTCAGTTAGAACTTGAATGTATAGGACATTTTCTTTATTTCTTTTTGACATGGGGGAGGGTATCACACAGGCTGGTCTCAAATTCACAAACTTCTTGCCCAAGTCTCTTAGCATTGGTTTTACAGTATGTACCACCATGCACAACTTGTAGGACTCTTTCAAAGGCACCCCTTTTAGCAAGACAATATAGCCTTTGGAGCTGTGCATCCAAAGATGCCTGAGGAATTGTATCTTTGGATTTATATAAATTTTAAATTTCCATGTCTGTATTTCTCTAGTTTCTTCTTGGACCAAGATGACTGATGGAAACCTTTCCACCTCTATGAATGGTGTATCATTGATGGGCATTCTAGATGGTCGGCCAGGAGACTCCCTTCAGGACCTGCAACACCTGAATGTCAAGGCACCCAGATCTGTTTCAGTGCCTGACTATGGACCCACACTAAAACTTGGTGCTTTGGAAGATCGCCACAGTCTTCAGTCAGTAGACTCAGGCATTCCTACCTTGGAGATTGGCAACCCGGAGCCTGTCCCCTGCAGTGTAGTCCATGTGAAGAGAAAGCAGTCTGAGTCAGAGGTCATCCCTGAACGGGCCTTCCAAAGTGCATGCCCCCTACCATCCTGTGCACCCTTAGCTCCCACCAGCAGCGAGCAGGAGCAAGTTGTGCGGAAGTCTTCCACCTTTCCCAGGACAGGCTATGACTCAGTGAAACTCTACAGCCCCACCTCCAAAGCCTTGAGCCGAAGTGACAATGTCTCTGTCTGCAGTGTGTCTAGTCTTGGCACAGAACTGTCAACTACATTGTCGGTCAGCAACGAGGACATCTTGGACCTCATGGTCACAAGCAGTTCTAGTGCCATTGTGACCCTAGAGAATGATGATGACCGACACTTTACTGATGTCACTCTGAGCTCCATCAAGGAAACCAGTGACTTACACCAGCAGGATTGTGTTGCTGAGACTGAGGAGGGGAGGAAATTGAAACTATTCCAACCATTCAGCCACTTCTTTACAAGGTAACACCTTTGCTATTTGGAGCAGGGCCAGGGCACCAGATGTAGAGACCTGTTGCCTTGTGCTTTCTTGTCTAACTGTAGTGTGTCTCCTGTGCGCATTATTAAGAGCTACGTCCTATAGACAGTTGGGCCTGTCCCCTGTGCCTCAGAGTACTGTGGAGTAGTGTGGGCCATGTCTGCTGCTCAATCAGCTGTTTGGCCTCTCACTGCATCTCCTGCTTCTTTGTCCTTGACTCCCTAAACAGTCTTTTTTGCTTCTTGGCCTCCTGCTTTTCGTAGGTGGGGTCACCCACAGGTGGTTATTATCCTTACTTTGTTAGTCACTAATGACTTCAGTTTCTTGTTATTATCCTTACTTTGTTAGTCACTAATGACTTCAGTTTCTTAGGTCAAGCAAAAGGATGCTGTTGAGATCGGTACCAGCATTAGCAACTCAGTTTCTAATACTTCTAGTGGCAGACACTGGGGCTGGCATTTCCAAGTGTTCCAGTCATACTTCCAGGGCACCTGTCTGGGCCTTTTCATGTGTTCTGGCCCTGGCCCTGCTGTGCTGTGGCCACTCCGCAGCCACACAATTCTTATTGTGTTGACCCTGCCATGCGTACCTTTCCTTTAGCGCCTTGCCATCCAGATCTCCAACAAGCCTATTGGGCTTCCTGTGTGTCCTCCAGGGCCCTGTGAGGAGAGTTGCTTCCATCCCCCCCCCTCTTGTTTTGTTTAGCAAGAGTCTGTCTAAGATTCTAGGCAGGTCATCTGAGAATCATAGAGTAATAGACATGATCTTTGGTCATGAAGGAGGGTGAGCTTATAATCTGAGGTTGGGATACCCCCACCAGTCAGTTACAGAAATTGTGAGATGCTCTGCATAAGGATGTAGGGGCTATGGATCATATGTACAGAATTATAATCAGCTCCATATTTTTCTTTGTAGGCTCCTGGGCTATGAGCTTGGCAGATAGGATCATATGGCATATGTTTCTAGCAAGTCGATGTTAGACTTTGCAGTACCTGGTGTGTTGTTCTGGCTGGAGTCAGCCAGAGACATCCAAGTCTAGGAACATATAGTAACCTAGAGTTTTGCAGTTGCTTCACCAGGCAAATGTGGAGTGTCTCCAGTCAGCCCAAGACCAGCCCTGAGTGAGGTGGTCTTCACATGGCATGCAGTCTTCTTGGGACACCTTTCTTCTTGATGTGCCAGCTGGCGGGGACCCTGCACCTCAGTGGAGTCCTAGTCACAGAACTTGATGTCAGTGATTGCCTTCAGGAGCCCTAGGGAGCCCTTGTATGTCAGAGTCCTTCTGAGGCATCCCGTACTGGGGACCTCATCATGTAACTGGCTGGTTCCTATTAACTTAGATGAGTGTTTGTAGTTTTCCAGAGTGTCTTATGTGACTCCTCAGATCAGTCTCAGGGGCTGAAAGGAAAGGAGACAACTTTTCAGTCACTTAGGAGACAGAGATTCTTCACAAATCTGGAAACCCTTTTTTGAAATAGAGGTGATGTAGCATAGTGGGGAACAGCTTTGTTTATAGATTACACCTAGCTCTGTGACCTTAAACATCACTTACCCTTACTGAGTTTCTGGATCCCTAGCAGAGTACTGAGAAAGGGACTGGGTGTCTGGTGTGTCATTGGCCCTCCTCACTCACCTCTGTTATCCCCATCACCAGGGCGCTTGCTGTCTCAGCTCACTTCCCTCAGAATTGGAGTGAGGAGTCCACTTGTGGTTGTGGAATTAAGTGGGTTAATATGTACGCGGTTTAGTGCAGATTCTGACACACGTATGATGTCTTTGTTAGGATTTCTCTTGCTGTGATGAAACACCATGGCCAAAAGCAAGTTGGGGAGGGAAGGGTTTATTTGGCTTACACTTGATATCACTGTTCATTATTGAAGGAATTTGGTATAGGAGCTCAAATAGGGCAGGAACATGGAGGCAGGAGCTGATGCAGAGGCCATGGTGTGTGTGTGTGTGTGTGTGTGTGTGTGTGTGTGTGTGTGTGTGTGTGTGTGTGTGAAGCTGCTGCTTACTGGCTTGTTTAACATGACTTGCTCAGCCTGCTTTCTTACAGAATGGAGGGGCACCAGCCCAGGGATGGCATCGCCCACAATGGGCTGGGACCTACCCCATCAATCACTAATTAAGAAAATACCCTACAGCCAGATATTGTGAAGACATTTTCATAATTGAGGTTCCCTCCCTAAGCTGACTTTAGGTTGACATAAAACTAGCCAGCACAGATGACTTTACATATCAGCTGTTAGGAGTGATCATGCCTATTCCCTGATTTGTTACTGCCTTTGTCTTATGGGGGAAATGGTAGAGTTGAATTGTCTGTTGAAGCCTCTTCGCCTTTGGAGGAAATAATTTCAGTTTTGCAGTTTCTAGGCCCTCTTATTCCTTGGTTCCTGCCTCTTACCTTTATCCAGCTCTGACACTGTTATGGGGAGCCACACTGAAGTGCTAGCTGAAGTAGGTGGAATATAAAAACAAATGCATCAAGGTGATATGGCAGTGGCTACCCTTCCCCTTTCTAGAGACAAGTTCCAACCTAGAACTTTGAGGGACAGGGTCAGTGGGACACACACTGAACACAGGCAAGTAAGTACAGCCACAGAGAATGGTTCAAGAACTCAGCCTAGGGCTTAACTCAGGTACTCAGAGGACTGTGGACTGCAACAGTGTTTGTGCAGGGTGGATCTGGGCTAGAATTGGTCCTGTGGGGATCCCAGGCCAGGCTATACCATCCATCTTTTTCCTTGTCTAGCCCCTCCCCCTCCTCCATTCTGCTGTAAGTTTATTATCCGTGAGCTGTAGAAAGATGTGTGGGTGGTGTTGTGGGAAGCTGGTTTAGGAGGACGTCGCCCAGTTGAGGAAGAGTAGAGAGGTTTCTACATGAAGGCAGGGACAGCAGAGCAATAGTTGCCCCATGGAAGTTGTAGGCACAGCTACTATTTGTTCCCCCTTTACCTGCTGTAACATACGCCTGTGTAGCAGACTACTCTGAGTTGTAGACTGGTTCCTGCCCTCCTAGACATGGTGGGCATCTTGGAAGGGTGGGTACTACAGTTGGGAACATTGCTTCAAGGCTCAGGTGAGCTAGGTTTATTGTCAGTTTTTCTCTTTCATAATTGTGTGACCTTGAACAGCTTTAATGGGGGAAAACAGCTCAAGTAAGATCAAATAGCTAAGGCATCTAGCTTCCAGGGATTACTTAAGTAGTAGCTTTCTCTGGTTTGAACAGACATATTTGTTTCCTAATGTACTTGCAAGCTTTTGACCCCATACTGTACATTCTTAGTTGGAACCATTGCCCAGTACCTTAGAGCAGGATTTCTGCACTAGGCACTGTTAATGTTTGAGATGAATACTTCCTGTGGGCAGCTGTTCTGTGTGTTGCAACAATCCTGACCTCTGCCCACTAGATACTGGTACCATCCCCCAGTTGTGAAGACCAAAATGTCTCTAGACATTATTGCCACAAGTCCTGGGGCGGAGGTGGGTGAAGAATGGGGAGAATCACCAACCTTTCAGATGCACTGGGCTGACAGGTTACAGCTGTTGGTACTTAATAGCTTCCTCAGAGGTCCTCAGAGGTCATTTACTAATGTCATATGAGCAGAATCTTCAGCTTACATGGAAGAGAGCTGTGTTAAGGGATCCTATGAATCCAGTGTAGTAGACCCCGAGAGCAGTGGGCGAGGAATTCAGTAGCATGCTAGGGTTGTGGCTGTTTTCCTTAGGTGATGGGGTTAGTTTCCATGAAGCCAGAGGTTTAATCTGATAATCTACAGGGTCTAGGGAGTAATAATTAGCTTCCCCTGCTTACATCTTCTGTCCTGTGACCTTTTATTAAGAGGAGGTGATCAGAGAGTCCTAAAGCATCAAAACAAAACAAACAAAACAAAAACCCAAACAAACAAATCAAAAACAAAAAAGAAAAGAAAAAAAGGAAAAGAAAGCCAGGAGGTGGTGGCACATGCCTTTAATCCCAGCACTCAGGAGGCAGAGGCAGGCGGATCTCTGTGAGTTCAAGGACAGCCTCCAAAGCAGAAACCCTGTCTCAAAAAAAAAAAAAAAAAATGAGAGAGAGAGGGGGGGGGAGGGGAAGAAGAAAAGAAGGCAAAGCAGATCTTGCCAAAGGTATGTACAGGGGTAGAGATAGTCTTTGTGGATGTACCCAGCCATGCTTAAAGGGCTGGAATGATGGATTTTCTAGTCTGCTTCCTAGGCACAGCCTGTATGTGGCTAACCCTACTTCTTGTAATTCAAAGATAGAGTGGGAGGATCATGGTGGTTTGAGAGCTGGGGCTAGGTAGCTTCACCATCTCTGACATTTTGTGCCATGTGACCTTGAAAAAGTCATTTAACCTCTGCAGCATCTAGTGTGAACTTGAGTACCTAGGACTAATTGTTCCTCTAGAAAAGAACTAATGTGAGAGGAATAGAGCCATACATAACTCAGTGTTAGAGCATATGCCTGGTGCATGTGAGGTCCTGGGTTCCATCCTAGCACCATAAAACAAATACAAAAACCACCCAGGGGAAGAGCTAATAATGCAAGTATTAAATGAGGAAATAGAAGTTAACTCTCAAGGCTGAGTGTGCTCAATACATACACTGTTCCTGGCTTCCTTTTGTTGAGGTTTCAGTGCTATGTTTTTTTTTTTTTTTTTTTTTTTTTTTTTTTTGTGTGTGTGTGTGTGTGTGTGTGTGTTTTTTTTTTTTTTTTTTTTTTTTTTTTTTTTTTTTTGTGGTTAAGAGTATTTATTGCTCTTTTTTTTTTCCAATTTAAATTAGAAGCAAGCTTTTTTATACATGTCAATCCCAGTTCCCTCTCCTTCCCCTCCTCCCCTGCTCCCCCACCAACCTTCTTATTCCATTCCCTTTCTACTCCCCACCCCAGGGAGGGTGAGGCCTTCCATGGGGGAATCTTCAAAGTCTGTCATATCATTTTTCGGTGTTATTTTTAAAAATTCTTCTGTGTAAGATGTGTGCT